GCACTTTTTTTTAGGATTTTATTTTTAAGTGATCTCTACACCCAACACGGGGCTCGAACTTACAACCCCGAGATCCAAGAGCCGCATGCTCTACCGACTGAGCCGGCCAGGCGCCCAGAAGTTAGACCTTTTTAGATAACCAAATGTATTAAATTCTCAACTGATGATTTCTGGGTTGCGTATCTTGGGCACAAAGGCCTCCTCCCACGTGTGAGGACCGTGAGGAGACTCGGGACAGAATTTACGAGTCCCTGTTGCCAACTCCTCCGTGACCCAGGCCGGCAGGTTGACCCGCTGGTCCAATCCCTGTGGCCCTGGACAGTTGGCCACAGGATCCGGTGCTGCCTGGCTAGGTCCGGGCGGGGATGGGGGTGTGGGGCTGGGGGCTGGGGGCGGTGCCGCTCTGACACCCAGCTGCTGCCGTCCAGGGACGCCAGTCCAGTCTGAGAGAAAGGCAAGGAAATATGTAATGAGAAAAGGTTCGTTACGCTGTTTAAATGCATAGGTGGCCCGCAGGTAAGCAAGAGGCGCCCCTGAGGAAGCAGAGCGAATGAAAACAGAGGAGGGAGCAGGGATGCGGCTGGGGCTGTGTGCAGGGGCTGCCGGGTTGGGTTTCCGCGGTGCTAGGAGTAAGGGCTTTCAGAAGGTGAGAGAGCAGAACGGAGATCCCGCCTAAAATCAGTGTTCTTGGGGCGCCTGGGTGGCTCAGTCGGTTGGGTGCCCGCCTTTGGCTCAGGTCATGATCCCGGAGTCCGGGGATCGAGGCTCCCGTGGGGCTCCCTGCTCGGTGGGGACGCTGCTTCTCCCTCTCCCTCAGCCGTCCCCCCCCCACCCCCCGCTTGTGCTCTCTGGCTCTATCTCTCCGTCAAATAAATAAAATAAAACCTTTAAAATAAATAAGTAAATAAATAAAACCAGTGTTCGTGAAGGGCGACCTCGGCGGGCCGAAGGAAGGACAGGGATATAAAAAGAAGTGGGTCTGAGTGAGCGGGGGAAGAACCCTCCCACGCCAGTCCTAGTATCCACGGAACAGGGGCTGCCTTCCCCCGGCTGGCTGCAAGCTGAGGGGCTTCAGTGAACCCCCGGCTGAGAGAGGAACTGCCCCCCTCCACACCCCCACCACCCCCATCGTGGTAGTCCTGCTGGGCTCCTGGCAGAGCAAACCCACCCTCCCTGGAAGAGGATACCTCACCCCAGGCTTCGCTCACCCAGGACTCCCCGGGGGGCCCAGCTGAAGATGGGTCAGTGACCTCCAATTGAAGACACCGCCCACGCTCCTGGACAATCCGCAGGTCTGTCAAAGACAGGACTGGCCCTACCGACATTCCCCAGGGTGTGACTCTCAGAGGCCAGAGGACGTAATTTCGGTAATGGCCGTGAGTGTTTGCCGTGGGCCTAGACTCCCCCCATCCCATCCTCCGGGAAGCCCTAGGAGGCTGTTAGCGGTGTCAGCCCCATTGTCCAGGTGAGGAAATGAGGAAAACACCACAGATGGGTTGAGCGGCTTCTTCGGAATCACTTGCTAGCAGGTGGCTGAGGCAGGGTGCGGATCAAGGACGTTGGGCTTCGAGCCTGACCCCCTTTTGTGGGCTATGCTCTACAGTCTGGCTCGCTCCCTCATTTGGAGATTCCTGGGGCACGTGTGGCACATCAGTATGTCCTGAAGGCATGAGAGGTGAGCCCAGGTGAATCTCCCCCTGGCGGGCCTTGGGTCAGCACACAAAAAAGGGAGGAGGGTGAGAAAGAGAACCACCTTCTGCTCTTGGGCTTCATCGTGGGGGTGGAGAGGTGCGGGGGCGGGGGGACTTCGAAACAGGGACTGGCATTACCTTTGAATTCTCATGAGATCAGAGAGCGGCGCTCACGGATATTTACGTATCGTTTGCATTGCTGTGACAGAAAGCTACTCCGACTCCCCAGATCTTCGATAGCCTCTGAGATACAACAACAGAAAGACACAGGAGAAGCATTCGAGTCCCAGACCAGGATGGAGTCCCGCATGGGCTCCCGGCTCAGCGGGGTGTCTGCTTCTCCCTCTGACCCTTCCCTCTCTCGTGCTTTCTCTCTCTCGCTCTCTCTAGCTCTCAAATAAATCAATACAACCTTTATATAATAATAATTAATAATAAAATAAAAACAAGAAAAGCGTCCAGGCAGGTTTGAAAAAGAACTTTAGAAGTAAGGAAACACCGTCATTGAAATAAAAAATCCCAACAGATGGATGAAATCACAGATAGGTGCCGCTGAAGAAAAGATCAGTGACCTGGAAGATGGTGCCTCCGAAATTACCTCCTGCCCTGTTTCCCCTCCCGGTGGATAATGTGGTTTCCTCCTTCCCTGAGAAATTGCAGCAGCCCCTCCTCAGACGTCCAGGCTCTGGCTCTTCAAGGCCCCCTCATCCTGGCTTCCAGGCTCCTGGTGACACCCACCTGTTCCCCTTGCTCTAGGGGCGGCATACAGTCTCCTGTATTATCTCCGTGACTCCAGTCGTCCGATCCGAGTGACCGACTGCTCATATTCAATCCCCTCTGTTGAGAAACTTTGTCTGTTTCTTGTATCCTGACTCATGCCCGACCGATACAGGATCAGAACTGGGAGTGGTCCCAGAAGATGGACCCACAAAGACGGAGTGTGGGGACGGGTCCGGTCATGCCCTTAGGCTGGAGTGTGGGGCTCGGGTCCTCGCCAACGTGCAGTGGGGCGTGAGGCGCCCGTGGCCGGCAGGGACCTCGTAATTTGTCAGGCCCTCACCTGCGGTTAACCGGGACGAAGGGCCCATCCTCAGTGAGCACCCCGGGGAGCCGGAGCGGCCGCTGCCCTGGACTGTCATGGGCGCTAGGGATGGCTGTAAAGACTGTGGTGTGGGACGATTCCCGAGTGCACCTGAGAGTGCACAGAGAAAAAAGGACAAGTTCAGGTTCCTTACCTCTCAGCTCAAGTCACCGTATGATAACCAGAGAACTTCCAGGACGGCCCTAAAAATTCGCTCACTTCCTCTACCTGCAAGGGTTGACAGGGCTGAAAATCAAACACAGCGTTTAGCTGTGCGGGTTACAGAATCCCAAAGTCAGCTGAATTCCCAGCCTGTGTTTCTCATGTGAAAGGTAGGGCGGTGGTTGGAGGAGTGGGACCCTGAAGCCTGGCATTGGGACATCTGGTTGGCCTCAGTTGAAGCTGAGAATGGGGGTGCCACCACTTTCCCTGAGCCTCAGCATGCTCCGGGACGGGAATGTATTAAGTGTGAGGGCATATTGCATCTCTGCCCCTTCTTCCCCTGGTGCACTCCTGGGCTCCTACCTTGAGTGTTGGGTAACTCTATTTGTCCTCCACACCGAATAGGGAATGAATTGTGGGACCTTTTTAGGATTCCTAAATTCCAGGCCACTGCTTTTCTGATCCCAAGAATGGCTGGATGGCAGCTCAGTAAGGAGGTAGAAGGTATCAGCTTTTTGTGCCAAGCAAGGCCACAGCTGGGCTGGTGTGCCTGTGGGTGGGGTGCTCTGACTAGAGAAGTCAGCTCCCAGAGCCCATTTGCTCCAGAGGTCTGAGTTGAAGAGGAACACTGTGTCGTGTCTCATTTTCCTTTCACGTTGGTAGTGCAGGAGGGCCTGTGCTGCACACCTCTGCCACCACCCTACTTGCACTTCCAGCCATCTCCACCCTCCAGCATCCCCGCACCCCTGCCCCTCCAAGGCCATCACCCCTCCACCACCAGTGTCCCTTTCTCTCTGGCCATACCTCTGTCCATCGCTGGTTGGCCCAAGGTTAAGGGCAGAGCCCCTTCTCCGACTTGTCCCCTGGGGACCTGGGCTTTGCAGCGCCTCACACCCTGGGGGCTCCAGCTAAGCACCCGCGCGGATGCTTGTTGTTCAGGGCGTTGACCCGCTCCTGCACCCGCCTGGCGCAAGCAACGCTGATTGGCTGGAGCCCAATGAGTGACGGGACAAAACCCAACAACGTGACCCAACTGCCGCCAGCTCTCAATTGGCCCCGTATTGAGGGGGGGCGCAGGGCCGGCCGGGCGGGCGGGCACGGCTGGAGTGAGGCGGTGTCAAATGGTGGGTAGAGGGAGTCCCAGTAGGGCACAGGCGGTTTGGAGGTGGGTGCGAGGAGCCAGGGCTGCTGAGGAGAGGGCTGGCCAGGGACGGGAAAGGCGGGGCCTAGTCACTGCGAAGCCCGGGATGAGGCCTAGAAGGGGCTTGAGCATTGAGGGGGGAGGGGCGGGCCGAGGCTGGGCCTGGGGAGTAGGAATACGCCCGGAACGAAGAGGCCGTCAGTGGGGACATTTCGATGGCACTTCTAAAATCCTGGCCACAGCCCTATGAGATAGATATTATCACCATCATCAGCATCGTCATCCCCTTTTACAGGTAAAAAAACTGAGGCAAAAAGGGTGTACCCCCTCCAACATTCAGACCTATTTTAGCACCTACAAGATTTGATGGTGTGCTTCCTCCTCCTGTTGCTTTGGCTACTCTGTACTCAGGAGCTATAGCTGAGCGAAGCTGGCTACAAGTCCATTTCCTTCTTTCTCATCATGGCTCCTCTCAGCCTGTGTTACCAAATGGGTCCTACTGTTTTTGCCTAGCACCTGTCAGGGCCTGAATTTAGGCTTTTGGAACAGCACTTTCCTCATGGATTGTATTTATTGTTCTATTTTTGTTGTCGATCTCACCAGATGGGGCATTTTACACCTGAATCAGAGCAGATGTGGTGCTCATCATGCATGACCATACATTCTGGCTGTATTCCTAATGGCTATCCTTAAGAGTATCCAGTGCTTTACACGTCAGGGCACCTTCATGATCAGTCTCCCACTCCTCAAACTTTTTTTTTCCCTTTCTCACACACACACGAAAAGTTGTAAACAGAAATTACAGGTCTGCAACTCCACTCCTAGATTTATATACACCCAAGAGAACTGAAAATTCACATCCACGAACTTCTAGAAGAATGTTTGTAGCATTATTCACAACAGAAAAAGTGAGAAGCACCTAAACGTCCAACTGATGAATAAAATGTGGTATATACACAGGAAGGATTATGTGGCCATAAAAAGGAATGGAGTCCTGGCACATGCTACCATGTGGATGAACCTCAAATGCATTACATGAAGTGAGAGAAGCCAAAGCCCAAAAGGCCATACCCTGTACAATTCTACTCATGAAATGCCCAGAAGAGGCAAATCCAGAGACAGAAAATACAGGAGTGGTTGCCAGGGGCTGGGAAGGGGAATGGTAGTGACTACTAAGGGATTCAGGGTTTCTTTTTGGGAGTCCTAAAACGGATCATGGTGATAGTTGCACAACTCGGGTGAATATACTAAAAACCACTGAATTGTGCAGTTTAAAAGGCTGACTTATATGGAGTGTGAGATGGTTGGTTAAGTGAGGTCAAAATTTGTACTTTCTAAATTTTCTACAGTGACCCTGTATCAACTGTTGCTTTTTAAAATCCATTTGATATTTTTAGTATTTTTGTATATTGATGTTTTATCTTCTATCAATTGTCTTACACAAAAATAAATGTTTTTGAAATCTTGTGAAACAAGCACAGCAATCATCATGCTAATCTTAAAGGCCAGGAAACCAGTTCAGTGATTTAAAAGCACAGGAGCAGAGTGAGCAGGCCCCTACGAAGACTCCCAAGTGCCAGGGTAGTTCTGGGTCTCTACTATTCTTGAACAAAGACCCCTGTTGACCAGTGAATGAGGGCAGTAAAAATTAGGACCATGAAGTATCAGACATTCCTCTTGTCAGCTCAAGCCATACACTATCCTCTAGTGGTACACCTCCCGCCTAATACCTTTTCCCCGGGCTTCTATTGTAGGGGAACGTAACTCTCTTTCCTGGTTTAGATAGAAACGCCTTCCTTAATTAGAATTTTATTAAGGAGACCAAATCACACATACAAAGCACAAATAGAGTAAAGCAGCTGGGTTTTTTGAAATGCTTTATTAACATTAACTAGTACCTTTAGCAGATGAATATGATTGAGCTAACAGTTTGGTCCCTGGGCAAATGAGACATTTGAGCGCACTCACAAAGGAGTGCAGTGTCGAGACTAGAACTAGTTTGTGTCCTCTTGTCACAGCACAGGACACCCGGAGAGCTTCCGCTGCTGCTCCACAGCCTCCGCCCTGTCCAGGGGAGATGAAGGCAAACGCCAGAGGAGGTTCCAGGGCACCTACAGTCACACTGTCCCCAGGAAGCTGCAGGTAGGATGGCAGCACGCAAACTGTCACATGAGGACAGCTGTGTGTGGCAGGGTGCTACAGGGCCACAACATGTGAGCGATGCAGTTGACAGTGCAATTTACACTTTCTTTACTTTTACAATACACATTTAAGAAACTTATCCTACGTTGATCCCTAACCCAGTTACCCGTTGTCTTATCAGAAAACTTTTATGTGGTTGTTTTGTCAGCTATTCTCTTATTTGTAATCTTATTAATGAGTCAAAGACGAGAGTTACACTTGTATATGTACTTATGGTTTAACAGGAAAGTAGTTAACTTGCTTAAATTTTTAAGAAAATATAACTGTAGAGATTTATCTGGCAACAAGCATAAATGTAAGGTAGAGAAGCCAGTCTTCCAAGTCTAATGCCAAGTAATGTATTTTAGCTCATTAAAATACATTTCACGGCCACTATGATGTGTCTGGCACTGACTCCATACATATCCAGCAGTTCACTCGGCTTCCCACTCTGAGGCACTCCAGGCACTGCCAGCTGATGGACCAAGATGTCAGGCTCCATGGAGACAGCTGCAGAGACAGCCTCCCCGATGCCACCTGGGGAAACAAGGGACAGGAGGCTCTATTCTGGTAGTGGCTAGTCAGCCTTAAAGCCCCGAAGTATAGAGGCCTTTGAATTTGCTGGTTCCTTGGTAAAAATATTTTTCACTAGGCACTGATTCATGGGACAGTCATCCTCTGACTAGCCAGAAGAGTCCTCATTCAAAACTGTGGGTCTCCAGGGTTACCTGGGTGGCTCAGTTGGTGAAGTGTCTGCCTTTTGGCTCAGGTCATGATCTTAGGGTCCTGGGACCGAGGTCTCTGTTTAGTGGGGAGTCCGCTTTTCCCTCTCCCCTCCCCGCTCTCAAATAAATAAAGTCTTTTAAAAAACCCCACAAAACCTGTGAGTCTCCAAATTGCTCCCAGCCCCACCACAGCAAGAGCTCTCTCAACTGGGGCTCCACAGATGCAGGGGGTCTACAAGCTCAGATTCTTAAGGCTCTCAGGAACCCCAAAATGATTAAACCATCCAATAAACTATACAGAAAAGAACGACTAGGCAGGCCCTCGGCTGACACCTGGACAATGGGCTGGTGCGAGGCCCTGTGAGCACCTGTTTTCCTCTGGGAGTCAGGAAGTTTGGTGTGTGTCTGGCAGAGGGGGTGTGACCAGTGCCCAATAAAACCCAGGTGCTGAGTCTTGAGTGGGTTCCTTGTGTCTCCAGTGATGCAATTTGTCACTACTGGAGAAGGGAGAGCACTCAGCAGGCCCCTCATGGAAGGGAGGGAAGGAACTGAAGGTGTGGGGTTCTCCTCTCCTGACCTGTGTCTTCTGTTCTCGTGGGTCCTGGTGTGTGTCCTTTCCCTATAATAAACCTCAGCTGTGAAAGCACTGAGAGTGCTCCTAGAAAATCACTATGGCTCACGGATGTGTTCTTGGGCCCCTGACACATGAACATATGGAACTCCCCACTCCCTCATATGTCCCACCTAACCTTCCCAGCCCCCTCTCCCTAGTCACACAGTTTTTCTGCATTTGCTGTGTTCTCTGCTTACAAAGGCACTATTCCCCTTTTGGGAGGGGAGCAAATTATTAATCATTCAAAACTCAAGCACAACCGTGAAGCTTTTTAAGACCCCTCCCTACTCACAATGCTGAGTTAGACACTCCTTTGTGCTGCCACTGAGCCACCTGGGCACCAGGCGCTGCACTGTGCTGAGGTCATACAAATGAGTATGGGCATGGCCTCACCCTAAGGAACAAGTGTAGGTGCATTAAGAGACTCCTACACAACAATACACTTGCAAAGAGCAGTAATAACGGTTGTTAGAGGAGTGCCTGGCTGGATGATACCCAGGGGCATGTCATGCTTCCAATCATGGAAATCAAAAACACATCCCACCAAAGCAGACTTTCAAAATGATCTTCAAGCCTTGCACATACCTTCTGGGTAGTGATCCTCCACTGTGATAATACGGCCACCTGCGGCTTTGGCATTAGAGATAATGGTGGTAACATCCAGGGGTTTAATGGTGAACAGGTCGATGACACGGATGGAAATATCTGGAGAAGATCAATATCCAGCTTTGTATGTGAAACAGACTTAGAATAAAGACCAATTGGGGCACATGAGGCAGCCCAAGTTCTACCTCTCCCCACCTTAAACTTCAATGTCCAGCAACAACCAACTGACCTTGCTTGGAAAGATCTTCGGCAGCTGCTAAGGCTTCATGCACAGTAACTCCAGCTCCAATAACTGTGACTTTGTCATTGACACTGTGGCGGACGACCTGGTATTGTGCCCATAAAACAAAAAAGCTGTAGTTACTATGCACAGAACGCATCTCAAAGAGAACACTGTTATGCTGCTCTTCCCCAATCCTACCAATTTCACTTCTTAATTCACTATAAAAAAAAAAAGCTGAATCAGTACACTAACAAGGACACCCTTTTTGATAAACCCTACTTGATGTTCATTTTTAGAAATTCATCTACCATGCTTCATGATTTACGGTGTCTAATTACTAAGTTCTTATCGAATACCCTTTAGCAAAGAAGGTGGATTTCAAACTGGGATCTGAAAGGCAGAAGGCCAGAAGCAAGTTGTATGGACCATATGTTGCAGACCAGACTCACTCACAGAGGTCTAGAAAGG